CTTCTCCACCCCATCGAGTCCGTTTGCTATCGCATTCCCCGATAATTTAACTTAATCGCCCGTGCAGAACGACTCGGTTTAGCGTTTAAGGTGAAGTCAACAGCTAGTAGGACTGTTTAAGCGAATCAAACGACCCAGTGATTTTCTATGTAACGAGACGTCCTCCTTTCTACGACTATAGCAATACATTCCTTCTCTCCCCTCGTATTTATAGTCACCTCAATGTTTGATACGTTGTTCACTGTTAAGAGGAAACCGTCTTTGATCGGGGAAACCAGTCTGAATCCTCTATTGGCGACATCCAATCGACTGTTTAAATCAACGAGGTTCCCATTAAAGTTAGTGCACGAGAAGATTGAAATGTAAAGAATACATATTTTTCCATTTATAATTACAGGCGAAGTAAACCGGAATCTTTGATCCATAGTCACCTGAGCAGTTGAAACTTCCGCGTTCAAACAAACGCGAGCGAAACAATTTATTAGAGTGATTCAAACATTCCAACTTAGAACGATTATGGATCTCCAAAAGAGGATACAGAATCAGCTCCGATCTCAGACCAGTTTCCACGGGTTTAAACGAATTATAGTTCTCTTAACCGAGAGTCATATGGGATGTATTGGTTATTACGTGCTTCGTATACGTGAGTTTCGGTCCCGTCGCCGCATAAGCGTGGCGATTACTCAGGGACTACATGTTCCACGGTGCCGTCGTGATACCGGCGACGCGGGCCCTCGCATGAGTGTGGCGAAAAGCGAGTGTATAATCCGATTGTAATCCATTTATAACGCTTAAACGTAAATTAGTTTAATTGAATCGAGGTGCTGCTCCGATGTCGGTACTCTTTAAGCGGACTGCTCTCGGTTTCACGTGGACGAACTTAAAGAACGAATACAGAGTCTGCTAACCCTGATGTAAAATTGAAAACTTGCTAAAAATTCACCGGAGATCTACTTGACGCCTCTTCAAGTACTCAAGATTTACAAAGCTGAATTTGATCAAATTTAGAGAAACTTTGTGAAGATTCCTATACTTTTAATACTAGAACTAACGAACAGTCGAATTGACTTTTCTGAAAGCTTCTTACAGAAACTCTTGGAGTTCAGATTTCTATTAATTTACAGTTATATTTGATTATTACTGAATTAATCATCTTTTTAATCATGGCAAAAAGAAGAAATCAGGAATGGAACAGTTTGACGTATATGGTAGTTCTAGTGTTAAACTTTCCAAGTATCTAGAACGGTTCTCCCATCGAAACCGGAAGCAGCATAGTACGTTTTCCGCCATTTCTTCGATTCTTCCGCGACAGAGAATCGGTAGGAACAGCTTTATCGAGGCGAGCACTTAACTGCGATCGGTTTCAACGGCGAACTCCCGCGCACAAGAATCGAGAAAAGCCGGAGAACCGACGTCGTCACGCCACCGCGTGGAGCGTTCTTAGCTTTTAATCGTCGCGAACGAGTGACTAAAGACGCTGCGGATAGCAGTCGCGTAACTGGGTCCAACGTGGTGGTGGGTACAGATCGTAAAGAGATTTACATTTAGAGAGCGACAATCGAGAACACGCCAATGTAACTCGTAACCCAATCAACTTCGAGAGCGGATCGGACAACGAAATTAACCGAAACGAGATCCATCGATTCGGTTTACGGAGGCGACATGTACAACGGCGACGGTCGCGCTTCGCGGATTGGCCTTTGCTTCCTTTATTTCTCTACACGTCTAACAGGGAAGATCGTGCTGTCGGTATTTCGAATCTCGTTTCTCCATGAATCTTCCAATTCGACTTTTCCAAATAGGCACCGGACTATAACGCTATGATAAAAACGTTAATTCTTCGTGTTACTTTTTTTTGTCTTTTTTTTTCAAATATGTTTTCATACGATTCTCCACTTACTCTGCTTTCGAACTTACGCTTTTGTTTCAAGGAAATATTGTAATATCGCATTTGAAATCGATGATCCTTCCAGTTACGTTATCTGTTCAATTCGAAATTCCGCGATAACGTGTTCTATGGAATAGAACCAAGTGCAATAACGTCGAGCGATCGGCAATCCGAAGGACTACCGTCGCGGATTGGAAACGGCCGGCGAACGCGTGACAAACGTGCGTGTCGGCGTTCGCCAGTGGCACTTGGCATTGGTTCATAGCGACATTGGGGACGAAAATGCCTTGTATAGAGACTTTTTTAAGGACACGCGAAACTACTCATGTCCCGCAACGTTTCTCTGGACCTTTGTCAACAGAACCTACAACGAACTTGTGTAAATAACGGAAACGTAATAAATCTTGTAACCATAAACGAACAGGTCTTCTTAATTACACCTTCGGAATCAGTGTGGACTGATTACGGTCCAAGTGGCAACAATCATTCACCACAATTCCTACAGTACCATTCATAATTATTATGAACATTATATTGATTTATTTATTTTGGAAATTAGATATTGGAGTATTGCTAACAATTTAACCCTTTAATACTAAAACTACCAAACAGGTCAAATGATCCATGCCTGATGTCTTCTTTTTGCAATTATTAGTAAAGTAACAAATGTTTCTTTGAGAAATTATTAAAGGAATTCAGCACTACGCAAATTGAATTGTAAATCAATTAAAGTCTGAACAGATGCACTCTTGGAGTTTCTATAACGAAATTTTCAAAAGTCAATTGCACTGCTTGGTAGTTTTAGTGTTAAACTCGCGGTTTCCAATCTGGGAGGCGCCAAAATTTTTAATAAAAAATAATATCTATACTATAATATCTATAAATAAATAAACTTCATACCGTAACGTAACAGTATAAATTCAGTGAAGTAATGTTCATTTTGTAATAAAGTTATTATTACTTAAAACGTATCTATATTATTACATCTATTAAAAGATAGGGTGGCGCGAAAAAAAATTTTATTTAGGTAAGCGTAGTAGCGTAAAGGTTAGAAACCGCTGCCTTAAACTGAATTTATGTGAAATTATTTTTATTCTTCATAAATAAATTTAATTCAAGCCGACACGATGTTGTAAGTCAAGAGCTTAAGCTTCACATAATATCTAATTATAAATGGTACTATGTATTGCTGATATTATTCAAAATATTACAGTACGCCATATTGAATTACAAATCATATAACTTTGACTTACCCATCTGGGCGTCCCTGGGCTCCAATTGACTGATCCACAACCTTGTTCCCTTGATCATCAACTCATTCTTGCAGTCATCTTTCACACACACATCCACGCACGCTAATTACAAACTTACGTTCAACCGATTATGACCAGTGAAGTGTTCAAATATTTCTCCCGCCAAGTGCCATATTGAATTACAGATGGAAAAGTTTTGACTAACTGATCTTAGCATCCTTCGATTAAAACTAAAATTCACGGATTAATCGAATTCGATCCACTTCCACGTAATCATCGCGGTCGTCGATATCATTCTCGCCGTCATTCCGCATACACACAACCGAGCACGCTAATTGTGAAACGAAATGAGCGTGGGTAAACATTAGCGGCAACTGAGCACGCGATATTCGCAGCACCGAACTTGAGGAAAGACTGACCCGGAATCTGGAAAGGAAGGACATAGGAAATGTTTACGTTCAGAGTCACCTTTTCCCTGAACCACTGTAATAATATTTGTGGAGAATTATTCTGTGAACGAACCGTGCAAACCATGTACGGACCTGTTGTTGACCGAGCTACATTGGGCACGTGTGGTCAGGTATAAACTAGATAATCAAACAAGGATATCTTACAATGACAGACGTTGATTTATTGCTAATTACTTGAAACCAGATGGTGGTTCCAATTGCTTACCATTCAAAACGGTCGAGGCATCGTTTAAACCCATTTTCCCCTTGATTTTCTGAGGAACAATCCGAGCGTCCCTCCACGGTTGAAACAGAAACCGTTGCAAATGAATATTTCGAATGGCTGACCGCTAGAGGTGCTGCTGTCGCTCAGGGCTGTACGACGCGTCGTCAATACCTGGCTCCTAATAGAAACCACATTTTCCACGATTTCAAATTACACCTTTTTTTTTCTTTCACTAAACATTTCGATTATCAGTGTTTGTATTTTAGTGTTAAAAGAAACGTCATCAATCTAAATATTTGTAAATCTTTTTGAATATTTATGAAGATTGAATACGTTCGAATAAATTGTAAGTCACTTGCGAGTATTCTTGGGTGTACGGCACTGAACCTTGACGGTTGAAATGAGCGGGAGATTCGATTGTACAAAATGAGAGACGTTGGAAGGGAAAGAATACTTCAGGGGCAAAAATGTGAAATGATAAAATTATAAATAATATATATATATAAATAATGTATAAAAAATATAATGGACCGCGGAAATAATTTAATGGTCTCGCGGAGTATCAAACGAGAGTGTCTTTTTTTTATTGAATTATATATAATTCGTTTTTGGAAAATATTATATATATATATATATATGTATATAATATAACAAGAAATATAATTAGACTGACATGAGTTCTATCAAATTGTCCGGCTCTCTATGATGTTGTGCATCTTTGGGTTGGTAGTATAGCTCTTTGTTTCCATCATACGATTCCTAATCTCGCTTTCACCTTCTCGGTCACCTTCGCGATGCGTTTGCATACGAATCCTCTTCGATTCGTCGTGGTTCTCCATGGTGTTTTTCTTCCCTTCCCACGCACACACGCTCTCCCACCCATTCATTCCATCCAACTTATCTCCTCCGTGTAACTCTTTGAGGATCATACTGCTTCACCATCCCCGCAACTACTTTTGTACCATTTTTTTTTTATATCCTACAACATGATCCACTGGGAACGGAACTCCGCCATTAAAATTCAACTGAAAGAATTGAAATGATATGAGAGGATAATTCAGATGTGAAAACAACCTCTTTTCAGAGACCATTCGTTTCCCTTGAACCAATTAAGAACATTGGGAAGAGGACTATAATTACAGTTCGTTACCCATGACATTACTCAGAATATACCTTCGAATGAATCGTCTCCTCTGGGAAATGAAGCTCCATTCCTGATGGATCATCAGTGTACAATGTCGCAGAAAGCTTCCTCTCGCTAATCAACGCACAAAAATTATACAATTCCTTGTTCAACGTACATCCAACTGGTTCGAGTATCTGCCAAACCTGGGCCTCAAAGAGTTAACATCAATCTCAACATTCGGCCCGCAAACGATCAGTGAACATGTCTGTGAACATTCTCCCTGTTGCTTATACCCCAAACAAGTATAAGTTTGTTGTTCCGTTCCTTTCCCTTTGTGTCTTGATAATTAAGAGTACGAGTCGCGAGCTCAGACCGCATACGCTCAGTCCAAACCGAACGGATCTAAGCTACCGAGAAAGTGTGTCCGAGAACAATGTTACCTGGTGATAAGACTTCTAACTTTATGATAACTGAGTGGCAAGTGCTTCAGATTGTCCCTTTCGTCGAGTAGTGGCTGCACGGTTAAATGGAGGAAGGAAAACTAACTATCGATGAAAAATACATTCGTTCCGAGTAAACCAAGTCTGTGGACGGAGTTCTCAAGACCGACGAGGAGGTAGCCGCAGAGTTGAACATCGGTCAGGGAGCAGAGGTATGTGACGTGGAGGTGAAAAGGAACAAACAAAAGGTGGAGGTGAAAAATTATGACCTGTGATCAAGACTGGGAACGAGGTTGATAGATGAATGATCTCTCGAGCATCCTAAAAGTGGAGCTACATGGCAGTTACCTGTCTACACTTATCGCAGAGAACGCAGGGAATGACCTTTGCTAGTGAGAATTGTTAAGCATCAGCAGTTTCAGAGTTGTTAGGAAGATGGCTGAGACCATGCAGAAACGAAGAGCAAACGATCGGGCATGATCCGCGAGAAAAATGAAACTGTAAGCTGCTCGGGACTCGCATCTGGCGTCACATCGGTTCAAGGACATCCAGCCTTAAACATGTTCACTGAGGGCGAAATCGTGGCAGGATACTTCACTCTTCAACAACGAAACGTCGAGTTTCACGCCAGCTAAAACACGTCTGATGCAGAGATGGGCAAAATTTTCACGTGAAAGACAGCTCTTCGAATAACGAACAAAAGACATTGAACCACTTACGCGCATTGCTCGTTCATCGAACACCGGAACTCCAATCACAAAAACAAGAGGATGTTTCGATTAGAACTAACAACAACGACAACGACAACAAAAAGGAAAAAAAAAGAAACGAATGAAATCGAAAATGTTCTAAGTGAGAGAGTAATATCTATGCAAGTTGTTCGATCATCTGTGATGCTTGGCATGTCGATTTTATTTCTAAAAAGGATCAAATTTCACCCATCGACAGTCCCCGGAGAGATCAGTGACGGATCGCGATCTGTTTTCTGCGTCCCGCACAGTTTTTCGAACAGAAACAAAGGAATTTGAGACAACGACGACCGACAGTCACTGATCCCCGATTCTCGTTTGCTCGCTCTGCGAGAACAGTCCAAATACCACGGGAAGCGCGGGGAACGATAAGCTGCTCGAACGTTCCCCGGCTTCCCGCAAAGTCAGTCGATCACGATTACAAGGGGGGGGAAAATGAATATGTCGTCTAGGCTAGTCAGAAACGCGAACACCAAGCGATTTAACGGCGAAACGTGTGCGAAGGACCAAGCAAAATTTGTTCGAACTTAAATAGTAAACGCTTAACGAGCGTCATCGACGTTGGCGGTGCAGTCAACGGAAGGTGATCAGGAAGATGCGAACTTTCAATGAAAAGCGTCGAAAACTTCCTCTCCTCTTCTTTTCCTCTTCTAATAAAACGCGTGCTGCTCGTTCTCCATCTTCCTCGCTCCCTTACATGCTTCTCGCACGCGAATTTCTTCACTCTCTCGCTCTCGCTCTCTCTCTCTCTCTCTTTCTATCATTCTCGCTAGCATCAATCCCCTTTTGTTTTATGTTGCATACAAAAATAGTAGGAAACGAACGTGAGGTCTTGCGAAACTTACAATGACTTTATCACCCGTTCTCCTCGATCGTTAGTTTAATAGTTCCTCGATCATCCGACGACCGGA